CAAAAGCTAAAGGTGGAGACTGTTGTGGTGTCATACATTGAATTGAGTATAACGTTTTGTGAAATGAAATTTTGATGAGTCCGATTACATCTAAGAGACGCATTCAGACACCAAGTCGTTTATCAGTTGCTGAATTATTGGACAAATGTACATTTGAGGGAGGAGAATCAAGGCGTTTCTACCAGGAGAGCTGATGCAGCGGAGGTGAATGGGGTCGTCCAGTTTGGCCACGGCGTCCAGTATGATGCCCTCGGCCTCCACCACGGCGCACTGCAGCAGGCAGAACTGCTCCTCCTGCAGCTTCTGGGTAAGTTCGCCCTCCCGGCAGGCCTGCGGGGTCAGACAGGGGTCCGTCAGTAGGGAGGAGGCGGGGGGGCGTCACTAATCCCTAGTGACGGGGGGGGGATCGAAACCCGCTTCTATCAAGGACCCGGTTCCACTTTTTTCAAAACCCGAAAATCAATAACGTTTGGGCTTATCCATACCACTATCGATTCTGGTAAATAAAGTTTCAGACATGCTGCGTGATGATGTGTTCGGATTGGCTCACTAAAACGACAATTAGGTTATCATGATGCGTTCAACGTAAAGGAAAGGGAAATTGAATTTTTGGCGAGAAAAACATGAGTAATACAGTTGCATATTGCTCTAATTATTTTGAATATATAATTAAACTACTGATGCCGACATTTATTAAAAATTACATTTAATTTAAAACACAATTATTTATTTGCTAAATATTGTTGCGTCGTCTTTCCACCAAATAACAGAAAAGTATCGATAGTGGTATCGATAAAGACTCGGATCGATAAGGAGTATCGATAAAGGTATCGATATCAATAAATATTAACGGATCGATAAGGAGTATCGATAAAGGTATCGATATCAATAAATATTAACCAACAAATAACAGAAAAGTATCGATAGTGGTATCGATAAAGACTTGGATCGATAAAGGTATCGATATCAATAAATATTTACCACCAAATAACAGAAAAGTATCGATAGTGGTATCGATAAAGACTCGGATCGATAAGGAGCATCGATAAAGCCGCAGGGGTGTCCATAGTCGGTCCTCGAGGGTCGCTGTCCTGCAGGTTTTAGAAGTCTCCCAGCTTCAACACACCTGATTCCCATGTGTGTGCGATTATCAGACTTGTGCAGAGCCTTGGAACTGATCCACTTCATCAGAATCAGGTGTGCTGAAGCAGGGAAACCTCTAAAACCTGCAGGACAGTGGCCCTCCTGGACCGGAGTTGGACACTCCTGGATAAAGGTGTCGATATCGATAAATATTAACGATCCCCATCCCTAGGCGCCTCGGGAGGTTTTACGCCACCTGCTGCTGCAGCTGTGCGTGC